AAAACTGGATGCAATATTTCAAGTGTGGCCTTACCAAGGCATTGTAAAGTGGTATTAATACTTTGATGTGAAAGACTTGAGCCCATCCCCCCTCTCAGCCCAATCTACTTCACAGGGCTGTTACTGTGGGGAAAATAGTAAGAAGGGGCAGTACGTATAATTGCTGCCTAGAGTAATATATAAACATAATACAGAAGATATAAAAATGAAAATTAAATTTTAATAAAAACTGGGAAGTAGAAATCCAAAACATATTTAAATGTATTTTCCAATATTTTGATAGATATTGATCCTGAAGGGTTCTCTGCAATTTTCCCCATATGTGGAGAGATCAATCTAACTCAGGGGTAGGCAACCTTGGCTCTTTTATGACTTGTGGACTTCAACTCCCAGAATTCCTGAGCCCGCATGGCTCAGCTTGGAAACCTCTCCCTTTCCCCTCAGCATGGCTGGCTCAGGAATTCTGGGAGTTGAAGTCCACGAGTCATAAAAGAGCCAAGGTTGCCTACCTCTGATCTAACAAGATTTTCCCCCTTCCCAGACATTGGTGGGTTCATCTGTATTACTCTAATCTTTCCATTACATTCCTTTCCTCCTTCCTCTTTCCTTTCCCCTTTCCTTTCCCTTTCCTTTTCCTAAGGATGCTCAGTAATTCAATTAATCACTCTAGTAAACACCTATTTGTTTCCCATTTCAGGTATGAAAGCTGGAAATCTTTTCTGATTCGTCTGAGTCTTATTTTGTCTGGGAAGAGAGCTGAATGGCCTTGGAAAATTTGGCTAGACCTCTTGTGAACAGTAAGACCTGTGACGATGCTTGAGGTCCTTTAGGAGCTGGATTAGAGACCAGAGAGAAGATGGAGGCACAATGCCCAGCAGATGCAGAAGTTAGAAAACACCCTACCGCTGCTCAGCCTTGGAACTGTGGGAAGAATGTGGCAAGCCCTGTGCAGAAGAGCCAAGAAGAGGAAGCCAACAGTTCAGAGGTCCAATGCTGTCACTTCAGAAAAGTGCAGTTCCAGGAGGGGAGGGGTCCCCGAGATGTTTGCACTCAGCTTCACTACTTTTGTTGTCAGTGGCTGCAACCAGAAAGACACACAAAGGCCCAGATGGTGGACCTGGTGCTCCTGGAGCAGTTTCTGGCTGTCCTTCCCCCAGAGATGGCAAAATGGGTGCGGGAGTGTGGAGCAGAGACCAGCTCCCAGGCGGTGGCCCTGGCCGAAGGCTTCTTGTTGAACCAGGAGGAAGAAAATATGCAAGAAGAGTTGCAGGTATGGGAATGTAACCATAGCTGCTCTAAAGAGGATCTCTCTGAATTTGTCAATTCGTTTCTGACAGAATTTTCTGAGTTTATTAACTCCTAAAGCGAGTTGTTCTATTCTTTCAGAGGATGTATTTGAGGCAATTCTTCCATTCTGTTTCGAGTTTCAGCAACGGACATTGGGGTCTGCTAATTTGAAGGTGCAATATGGTAATTCATTTCTATCTCTCTGCTCTTCCTTTGTTTCTCGTATCACATCATGTCCAGAAATCCTTGGAAGCTGTGACCGAGTATCCCAAGGGGAGGAAAGATTCATTCAGATCTTCTCAAGAGCTGCTGTTCAGGGAGGCCGTACACAAATATCAAAGTCAGGACATTATGCCAGGTAACAAAAGCTCTTTCTGTTGTGATGTGAGATTTCAAAATTTACCTGATTCTTTTGCTTCTCTTGATTGGAATCTCTCTCTCTTTAACAAATCTGCTTCCACCATTTTTCTCTGTCTCACAGAGAGTAGAAAGCTGTCCTTGGGATTTTTAGAGTCACCTCCTCTTTGTGGTGGAGCTGAAGGACTGGCTGAACCTCTACTTCAGGTAAGGAAGAGAAACGTTGGAAAAGGTCCATGAATTTAGGATGGATTTAATTTTCTTCTAGAGTTCAGTGTATACAATTGCGGTTTCTAAGCAATATGAATTTGATATCAGGTCATTGAACATTCACGCTCAGTTTAGCCAAAAGCGGTGAGATCTTGTTCTGAATTCTGCAGAAAATTCCCATTTTGTTCACTGGATCTCTTTCTTGGAGTTGGTAGAAGAAAATTACCAGATTTTTCTTGGGATTATCTATTAATAGGGAACCTTGTTTCCTTGTTTAGGATGTTGTGTCTTTTGAGGATGTGGCCGTGCATTTCTCTAAGGAGGAGTGGTCTCAACTGGATGCTGACCAAAAAGCGCTCCACGGAGAAGTCATGCTAGAGAATTCCAGGAATCTGGCTTCTCTAGGTAAGAACTCCTGTCTGTGCTCAGAAACGTAGGGAAGGGGCTTAAATGTTATTTCTGATTTAAAAACATCATTTATTTAATAATAATAATAAAGTTGGAAGGGACCTGAAATATCGCATGGGCATAAGTATTCAGACCTTTCACTCAGTACTTTGTTGAAGCATCTTTGGCAGCAGTTACAGCCTCGAGTCTTTTGGGGTATGACGTGTCAAGCTTTGCACACCTGGATTGCGAAGTGGTATGTGTTGACACCGCTAACTCGTCGTGGCATTGAGTCATTATTGACCCCCCTGGATTGGGGGATTTTCTGCCATTCTTCCTTGCAAATCCTCTCAAGCTCAGTCAAGTTGGATGGCGACTGTCAGTGCACAGCCGTTTTCAGGTCCCTCCAGGGATGTTCAATAAGGTTCAAATCAGGGCTTTGGCTTGGCCACTCTAGGACATTCACAGAGTTGTCCCTAAGCCACTCCTGTGTTGTCTTAGTTGTCTGCTTAGGATCGTTGTCATGTTGGAAAGTGAACCTTCGGCCCAGTCTGAGGTCCTGAGCACGGTGGAACAGGTTGAGGTCCTGAGCACTGTGGAACAGGTTTTCATTGAGGAGATCCCTGTACTTTGCTCCATTCACCTTTCCCACAACCCTGACCAGTCTCCCAGTCCCTGCTACTGAAAAACATCCCCACAGGACTGGGACAGGGGTAGGCGGCCTTGGCTCTTTTGTGACTCGTGGACTTCAACTCCCAGAATTCCCGAGCCAGCCAGTCCACAAGTCGTGGGGGAGCCAAGGTTGCCTACCCCTGGACTAGGAGCACGGAGGCTATTCAAAATCCATATTGCTCTAAGTTCAAATCCTCTACAATTCATTTGTGAACAAGAACAAAGAGATTTTTGTTGTGTTTTGCTTTGTATTCTGACCAGTTTCTAAGCATGGTTTAACCACCTTCCTTCCCTTCCTTCTTTTGAAGCCGAGCTATCACATCTTTCTTCTAACTTAATGTTTCCATTTGCACTTTCCATTTATGTTAGAATTCAGAATTCTTTTTTTTTTTTTTTTAGAAATTAAAAATCGTTCTCGGCTTTGAAAACATTATCTCCAAGGTAATGAGATAAACCCACTGAGCAATTCTCACTTAACAGAAGGACCTATGAGTCTTTCCTTCTCCCTGCACACAGAGTCTCTTCTACACAATGACTGAATAAGACTGACTTTTCAGATTCTCCCTGACTACCTAGCCTCAGCAATAAACAGGATCAGAATTCTGTCATGTTAACTAGCTGTGCCTGATGTTTAGAGTAGCACTATATATGCAGTTTGATTTTGTTCCCTTTATTAGTTCAAAGGTTGTGCAAAATAGCCTGAGGTAAAAGAGCAAGTGTTGTCATTGCTCCTGCAGTGTCATTTCAATAAATGTCCCCACAGGATGATGGTGCCACCAGTATGCTTCACTGGTGGGATGGTATTGGGCAGGTGATGAGCTCCTGGATTCCTCCGGACGTAACATTTAGAATTGAGGTCAAACAGTTCAATCTTGGTTTCATCACATCAGATAATGTTGTTCCTTACAGTCTGAGAGTCCTTCAGGTGCTTTTTTTTTTTTGCAAATTCAAAGCGGGCTTTCATGTCTTTTGCACTGAGGAGAGGCTTCCGTCTAGCCACTCTGCCTTAAAGCCCAGATCGGTGGAGGGCTATAGAGATGGTTGTCCTTCTGGAATTGTGTCCCATCTCCACACAGGACCTCTGGAGCTCAATCAGAGTGACAGTCTCTTACTAAAGCCCTTCTCCCCTGAGTCTGACCAGGTGACCAGCTCTTAGAAGAGTCCTGGTTGTCACAAACGTCTTCCATGTGAGAATTATGGAGGCCACTATGCTCTTAGGAACATCAGTGCAGCAGAAATTTTATGGTGTGGCCTCTGTTGAGGAAGATCCAGCCTTCCAGGTTTCGGTATTCGCTCGTGAACCTAGTCACTGGGTCCCCAATGGCCCTGAGCTGCTGTAACCAAGAATGGATGAGCCCTGAGAGAGATGTTCCCTTCTCAGAGATGTGCCCACTAGTGTACTGAGTTTAGCATCAGCCTAAGTTGAGGGTGGGGAGCTATTGCCATCCAGAAATACCCCTTGGCTTTCAGAGATTCTGCTCTGCAGACAAGTGTAGAGCTAGTGGATATGTTGCTGCTCCAGCATGATACAGTGTCCAATGCACTTCAGGAGTTTGTGGCACCATGGAACAGTCCCAGGTCAAAGATTAGATCAGGGTTGTGTCTTAGGTTTGTTATGATGTGATCCAAACCTTTTATATGAGGATCAGTAGGGATCCACTTGGAAATGGGTCTTTGTCAAAATCTTAGCTTGGAATCTTCATGTTTGCCAACAAAACAGCCAAAAAAGATATTGATGATTCTTTGGGTAAATTTCAGAAGAAAAGGTTTGATTGTTGCCCTATTCTTGCTACAGTTTTCATTTTTCTTTTTCAAGGCTTCAATGGGCAAGAGAATAAGAATTGCAAGGAAGAATGCCAGGCGATCCTTTCGGAAGTGGGAAAAGGGAAATTTGCAGATCAGGTGCAACGAAAGAGGGATGAAACAAAGCGATCACAGAGTGGAATTGAAAAAAGTGGGCTTCCTAACCATACAATCATCAATACGGGAGAAAGGCCATATAAATGCATGGAGTGTGGAAAGAGGTTTAATAAATCCGATCATCTCATTTCCCATAAAAAGATACATTCAGAAGAGAAACGATTTACCTGCATGGCGTGTGGAAAGGCCTTCTCTAATAATTACTCTCTTATAATCCATCAAAGGAATCACAAAGGAGAAAGGCCTTATAAATGCATGGAGTGTGGAAAGAACTTTACTTGTAGGAGTAATCTTAACACCCACAAGAGGATCCACACAGGAGAGAAGCCATATAAATGCATGGAATGTGGAAAGACCTTCTGTTATAATCGCTCTCTTATAATCCATCAAAGGAGTCACAAAGGAGAAAGACCTTATAAATGCATGGAGTGTGGAAAGACCTTTACTTGTAGCAGTAGTCTTAATACCCACAAGTTGATCCACGGAGAAAAGAAGCCATATCAGTGCATGGAGTGTGGAAAGACCTTCTGTTATTCTAAGTCTCTTATAATCCATCAAAGGAATCACAAAGGAGAAAGACCTTATAAATGCATGGAGTGTGGAAAGACCTTTACTTGTAGCAGTCGTCTTAATTTCCACAAGAAGATCCACACAGGAGAGAATCAATGCATGGAGTGTAGAAAGACCTTTACTTCTAGAAGTAGTCTTAATTCCCACAAGAGGATCCACACAGGAGAGAACCCATATCAATGTATGGTGTGTTCAAAGGGTTTTAGGAAGAGTAGTAGTCTTGCCTCTCATAATAGGATCCACACAGGAGAGAAACCGTATCAATGCATGGAGTGCGGAAAGACCTTTACTTGTAGCAGTAGTCTCATTTCCCACCAGCCGATTCACACAGGAGAGAAACCATATCAATGCACAGAGTGTGGAAAGACCTTCTGTTATTCTCAGTCTCTTATAATCCATCAAAGGAACCACAAAGGAGAAAGACCTTACAAATGCACAGAGTGCGGAAAGAGCTTTACTTGTAGCAGTAGTCTTAATTCCCACAAGAGGATCCACACAGGAGAGAAACCGTATCAATGCATGGAATGTGGAAAGGGTTTTAGGAACAGTAGCAATCTTGCCTCCCACAATAGGGTTCACACAGGAGAGAAGCCGCATCAATGCACGGAGTGTGGAAAGACATTTGTTTCTAGCAGCAATCTTAATTCCCACAAGAGGAGCCACACAGAGAAGCTATACCAGTGTAGCGAGTGTGGGAAGAGTTTTACTAGGAGTCAAAGTCTGGCTGTCCATAAAAAGATTCACACTGGAGAGAAACCGTATCAGTGTATAGAGTGTGGAAAGAACTTTACTAATAGCAGTTGTCTTAATTCCCATAAGAGGAGCCACACGGAAGGGAAGTCATAGGGCAGTGATGGCGAACCTTTTGGAGACCGAGTGCCCAAAAACTGGCCCCGCCCCCACTCCATCCCCCTGCCCTGCCCCCGCTCTGCCCCCCGCATCCCCCGCCCTGCTGCCCACAGGACCACTCACTGCCTCCAGGGCCCGCCGCAGATCGCCAAGGCAGCCCAGCAGTGCTATGGCGGCCCACACCCTCTGCCCGCACCCTGCAGCATCAACTGCATGATGGGGTGTGAGGGCAGAGTCTTGTCTACGCTGCCTGGCTGCCATCTCCTTGGCTGCGCTGCTCTGCGTGGGCCACCCTCGAGGGCGACTCTCCTTCAGGGGGGCTGCTGGAGAAGAGGGGGTCGTGGGGGGAGGCAAGGTTGGGGCAAGGGCATGTGTGCCAACAGAGAGGGCTCCGAGTGCCACCTCTGGCACCCGTGCCATAGGTTTGCCACCACTGTCATAGGGCTTTAGAAAGAGTTGTGATTTTCACTTCCCATAAAAGGAGCCATACAGGGGGAAAAAAACCCATATGAACGCATGGAATCTGGGAAGAGCTTTGAAAGGCGTTATGCTCTTACATGCCATAGAAGGATCCGCACATGGGATAAACCATATCAATAAAGGAAGTGTGGGAAGAGCTTCAATAGAACTACAGATAGTCTTCGGCTTATGCCTGCAGTTGAGCCCAAACTTTTTGTTGCTAAGCGAGACAATTATTAAGTGAGTTTTGCCCCCTTTTTTGACTTCTTGCCACATTTGTTAAGCGAGTCACTGTCGTCGTTAGGTTAGTAACACTGTTGTGAATCTGGCTTCCCCATTGGCTTTGCTTGTGAAAAGCTCACAAAAGGCAACCACGTGACCCAGAAACATTACAACTGTTATGAACCAGTTGCCAAGCATCTGAAGTTTGATCAAGTGACCCTGGAGATGCTGCAACAGTGTGAAGTTTGTGAAAGTGTGGAAAACTCTCGTAAGTCACTTTTTTCAGTGCTTCTGTAACTTTGAACAATCACTAAACAGACTGTTGTAAATCGAGGCTACCTATAGTCTAAAATCTCATGTGAGGACCATTTGAGTAATAATCCAAATAAATATACCGCTGATTTAAATGGCACCCAATTTGATTGACTTGAGCTCAAAACATTCATCAGAAGTACTGGATTCTAGACAATTTTTAAGTTTTCTCCTGTCTCCCGAAAAGGGTTGTGGATATGTTTTGTTTTGAAAAAAATATCCAGGATACAAAAGAGAAACATACAAACAATGTGCAAATTCTTTTTATGTTTTTTTTAATACTAGATTTGTCAACTTTCCGATTAGCGAACCCAAAAGAAGTAAACATTCTCGGTAGCTTTGAATTCCCCAAAGTATAACGTTTATTGGATACACCATCTCGGTACTGCAGAAGCACAACTAGCTCTGGTTTTCCTGCAGAAATGGTCACTTAGTTAAACAATAGGTTCCCTTTCTCTCCACCCCTGGGTGATCACACTTTTTCCAATTATAAAACTCCCTTTTTATTATGGGAACAATCCACGTCTCCGTCTAACACCTGCGATAGTGACCTTGGCGAGGTTCAGGCTCTCTCGATCCGTAGACAAAAGCTTAGCATTCCATTCTCCCCTCCCTCCCTCCCTCCCTCCCGCTTGAATAGCAAGTTGAAGAGTGACAGAAGCTTAGAAGAAATAGAGAGATTCAATCCTGGCATGCCGACCCCCTGGAAGAAGGGTAGACCTAGAAAAATATCAAATACACCTTAACATTACTAAAATAATCTTTAGCTCTCTATTTCCTCTTTGGACATTTTGGGTATCTTAAGATAAGATAAGATAACCTTTATTGTCATTTTTTTTACTGTGGGCACAACGGCACACATCAAAAATGAAATTTAGTTGCCCGCTCTCAAAGTGAAACACATACATGACACACACCGAAAACATACTATGTACAACATATGTATAGACCCACACCCTTACATATACATAGCAAATAAATATTAAATAGTGTCCATCTTGAATATATAATGGAAGGAGGAAGCTTGAGAGTTCACAAGGTTAATGCTGTATGGAATGAAACTATGGCTGAATCTGGATGTTCTGCTACGGATACCACGGAGCCCCCTCCTCCCAGAAGGTAACAAGGAAAACAGGTCGCGGAGAGGATGTGTAGTGTCCCAGATAATCTTACGGACCCTGCTCAAGCAACGCTTCTGTGCTATGTCTTGGATGGGAGGAAGGGAACAGCCAATGATCTTTTCGGCCATTCTCACCACTCTCTGCACCGCCTTCCTGCCTGAAGCAGTGATGCTTCCAAACCAGACTAGTTCACCTGTATTAACATTATGGGCAACAACCCACTCAGCATCAGCTGAGGGATATTCTTTCCACTGCACTAAGCATTGTAGCCTTCCCTTCAAATGTCTTGAGTCCAATATTTTTTTTT